CTGGTGCCTGCTTCCCCTCTGCCTTGGCGACACCGGGTATCAGCAGCATTTTCGTGTTTGCCGATCTGGCAGGAGATCTTTGCGTTGCTTTCCTTGTCATTTCACTAACTGTTACAGAAAGGAGCATCTTTTTCATATTTATCTGCCATTTACTTCACTCTGTAAAATGCCTACTCATAATCATCCCTCATTTTTCTTTGGATTGTTCATCATTTTCTCATTCATAAGGGCTCTCATGTATTAAGTGAATACTATGCCCTTTTTTGGTCATAATTCTGGCAGATGTTTTTCCCAGTCTGCCATTCGCCTTTGATCTTACATATAGCACTTTAAGCTGTATAGAAATGTTCACTTTTTAGTGAAATAAAGGTAGTGTGTAGCAATCTTTCCCTTTACAGTGTCAAGGCGTTGTTTTTTATGTGGAAAAGACTCCAGTCCAAGATAAAATTTTTAATGCTTCCTTTTCCCAAATTCCTTTAGTTTCTCTCTCTCTTTTTCTTTTTATATTTAAATCTGGGCATGTGTGCGTTGTCTGAGAAATAAAGCAGTTGGCCTCCCCCCATCCTCCAATGACTAGCCAGTTTGAAATGCCGTCCTGCTCATTGTGCACTTGAACTTGTGTCTTGGGGATTGACATATGTACTTGAGTCTTCCATTTGCGTTTGTTTGGAGCCTAGTTCTGTATTCTAGTCTACCCAATATTCTGTCTTTTTCATTTCTATATTTGTCATTCCCTTTAATATCTTATTTAGGGAATTTTTTCTAGTTGCCCTCCCTTTTTAGATTTGTTTCTGGAAATTCTCACATGCTTATTTTTCACTGGGAACTCAGAATAGCTAATCTAGTTCTCCAAATTCCAGAAAATCCTATTGGGATTTTATTGGGATCACATTAAATTAAGTGAAATTTTAGATTGACTTAACAAAATCATTATCATTATATAAGGTATATCTATTTATCAGAGTGTATTTTAAGTCACTTACAATAATTTTAAAAGTTTAAAAAATTAAGCCCTGTGTATTTTTTGTTAAATTTATTCCTTCCTTCCACTTGCTGTTGCTGGTGTTATAGATGGAATCTTGTCTCCCAATACATTTTATAATTAGTTATGGTTTGCATCTAGGAAAGTTGTTACTTTTTTGTGTCAACTTTAAAAGCTGACTGGATTCCCTTCTTATTTTTAATAGTTTTTTAGCTGATTATCTTGGACCCACGTATTGGCTACTGACATCTTTTGTAAATGAACTGGTCAGGATAGGCCTTTGCCCCTGTGACTCAGTGCCGTTCCTGGGCCTGACGAACCCTGCAGCTGTCTGCGGGAGAAGAGAAACTAAGTGCGAGGGCCGCTGAGTGAGACACCCAATCAAGAGAGAATTAAAACAAAACGTGGACTGTTTGTCAATATTATGAGAAGAAGCCCTTGATCCCGCTTCTGTGAGGGGCCGTCAGTGCCGGGATGTCGTAACACCTGCGTGAGACTAAACACAGTCCTTGAAAGAGGATCTTGCCCTACTCTGTCATTTCAAAAGCAATTCAGGTAGAGTGTCTGGGTGTAGACCACTTGCAGAACAGGTATGGAAAATGCTGAACAGTGCCTCAACTTCACTGGGGAAACCAGGTAATTCCTGTTTAGGATGGATAATACTGATGAAGTCGAGATCGAGGCCGTGGGTGTGACCCAGCCCACGAATGAATACAAGCGTGGTCCCTCTGTGACACCGCGCTCTCAGTAGCTTCTGAGCTCTGGTCTTTAAAGTGCGGGTGGACGAGCCCTGTGACTCTGCCAGAGGGCCAGAGAAGGTTCCAGAACCGCAGCACGGCGGAGCCAAGCATGAAAAGGAGCCAAGGGCAAACCAAGCCCTCGATCCTAAGAACGTCGGCGATAAACCAGCAGATTTTTCTACCCAGATCACAAACGTCATTAAGAGGCTAATGGATGGAGAAGATGGGTGATTACCATCTGAGAGGAAATAAACATTTAGACCACAGGCAAATCCTCCATTTGATGGTGGCAGATTTATACGTTGCAGCCCAAACCTTCTACCCAAAGTCAAAAAACATCCGTTGCATGGGCTGCGATCCCCGGGCTCTCTGCGTAAGGTCTGACGTGACCTGAGGAGTGGGGAGGGGTCTGTGCCTAGCTGGGGGGCAGGTGGGAATGTTCCAGAGGCGGGGGCTGGGGTGTGGGCATTAACATGCACGTGACTGGGGGCTCCGTGGACCCAAGCCCCAGAGGTTATCCCAATCTGGCCATGACGAGTGCAGTCACAGGGTTCTAACTCTTGTCTTACAGAGTGAGACAGCGGAGCCAGAGTGGAAAACCTGGGCGCAGCCAACAGACATACACACCGCCCTCCCTGACGTGTCCCCCAGGGGTTGGAGGAAGACCAGTGGGATGGATGCACGGGGAGACAGAGGGGCAGCTCAGGGGAGGGAAGCCCCTTTGTTCATGTTAGGAGGGAGGACGCTCTCTGTCACTAGAAGTGACCAGGCAGGATTTGGGGACCATTTCCAGAGTGGGGGTGTGTCGTAGAGGAGTCTGAAGCATGAAAAGTTTGTCTGAACATTCCAGCCTTTAAGAAATCTTTCAGCCTTGTGATATATATGTAACTATAAGAAGCAAAATAGTCATACCTAAATATATAGACATATATTAATATGTATATGTGTACATTTTTTTATTTTGCTTCTTATAATAACTACTATTAAGAGTCCTCTCACTTACTTAAATTGTTTGAACACTTGTGATGCACCAGCCACTGTGCTGAACTCCTAGATGCACTATCTCTCTCAGGTCGTGACTGTCATTTCCTATTTTACAGACACGGAAGCCGAATCTGAGGGAGGTGAGGAATATCTCTAGAGTCGGCCATGCAGATCGCAAGCAGCAGAGCTGGGGTTCAAACCCTGCCCTTTTGACTGTGGAGCTGCTGAGCTGCACTTAGTTTCCACATTTTAAAAAATCACAAGCACAAAGTTTATAGCAGTTTTCCAGTCTCAGGACATTATCTACTTGCACAGAAAAGAAGGGTTGTTTTTGTTTTTTTAAAGATTTTATTTATTTTATTTTATTTTTTTAGAGAGGGGGAAGGGAGGGAGAAAAACACCAATGTGTGGTTGCCTCTCACATGGCCCCCACTGCAGACATGGCCCACAACCCAGGCAGGTGCCCTGATTGGGAATCGAACCAGTGACCCTTTGGTTTGCAGCTCATGCTGAATCCACTGAGCCACACCAGCCAGGGCAGAAAGGAAGGTTTTATCCTTTCTAATTTCCATTACTTTGTTCATTGGTTGCTCTAAAGAACACCGGAATTAGAATCAGACTCTGGTAGACACAAAGTGAGTGGTCGTAGGTGTTCAAGCTTCAGATGGAAAACGGGGGTGTGGGGAGCCCCCGAGCCACAGTGAAACCATGGAGAACCCATAAGCAGCAGGACCACCGCCAATTTAACATTTAGGCTTCTTATCACAGTTATCAAAGAGGAGAACAGACTTGCTGTTCACTCATCTTTTTGTTGTTGTTCAACCCAACCAGTATTTACGAACTTAAAACTATGTGATCATGCCATGGAAGCTATGCTGAACACATTTCAAAGAGAACACAAGCATCCAATCAGAGGCATTGCAGCAGCCTGCTCTCTGCTTCCTTGCAAAGCTTAACAAGTCACCTTTTTCTCTAAAACTGCATCTTGCTTTTATAAATTTACTTTTCAATTGCAGTCGGCAAACAATATCATATTCACTTCACGTGCGCAGCATAGCGACCAGACACTGATATGCCTCACAAACTGGTCACCCCAATAAAGTCTGGTACCCACCTGACACCACACACAGACACCTGACTCTTCCTTGACAAGACAGAAACTACTATTCTCACTCGCTGATTTCCATGCAGATCTTTCAAATAAACACAAGCATATTCGTTTTGGGTACCAATTGCCCTCCTTACCATTGAAATGAATTACTGGGGTGCTGGAGGTTTGGGGATGCTCGGGAGGAAGGACAGAAAGGCAGAGTGGCCAGAGAAGGGATGAGAGGATGGAGAGGAAGGGGCCAGTGGAGCAAGAGTCAGCTGAACCAAGTTACCAAGAACCAAGAACCAAGTTAAGAGGCAGAGGAAAGAGAGATCGGTTGATAAGGTGTGGGGGACAAGGATGGAACACCACTGAGGAAGCACAGCCAGGATTTAGAAACATCAGCCGGGGCCTTGGGCTGCCGGTGGAACCGCAGGTCAGCACTGACCAGGGCCCCCGCCCAAGCCAGGGGTCAGAGCCTTCTCTAGAATGTTTGAGACCACAGAGGCCACTCAGCCAGGATAGTGACCCTTCCGGGTGAGTGCACTTGAAACTACATCTTCCACAGACCCCCCTGGGACATCATTAAAGAGAGGAAGGCCAGTGGGATGGATGCACGGCGAGACAGAGGTGCAGCCTCAGAGTCAAACCTTAATGACATTCAGAAAAGAGGAGTAAGGGGCAGCACCCTGAGAATCTCCTTGCCCCAAATGCAGGGCCCGGGGTGGCTGCCCAACTGGCCTCCCAGGGGATGGGACTATGTGGGACCCTAGCACAGACAGATACTGGGCTCCCCCAAAGCTATTCACAACTTCTAATTCCTCCCAGAGACAGTCCTGCCTCCGCTCTCTGGGCTCCTGAGGGATGGCGTTTTCTCTGGCCACCCCATCCCCCGCCCGAGCAGGTGATTCTGCCTTCAGTTCAGCCTCTGAGCTGCCTGTGCTCCACCCACTTACTCCCCACCCCCCTCAGGGGCCAGAAAGAAGGGCTCCTTTCTCTTTCAGGATTCTGGCTCATTCCCCGCCAGAATCTTCCCATTACTCTCAAAGGAGAGCCTCCTCTCCCACCTCACCCCACCCCTTCAGCGCGTTCCCCTGCATCCCCATCTCCACGCAGGCAAACTCAAAGCTGCGGGCCAAGCGTCCACGGGGGGCAGGGAGCAAAGCCTACGGCTCAAGAGGATGAAAAAGGTCTGAACACTCACCAAGTGCAGGGTGTCAGCCTTCTGCGTCTGCCTCTGGCGGCTCTTCTGGGCAGCAATGCGGTTTTTCTCCCTCCTCTGAACTTTTCTCACGTCGTCAGATGAGTCCTGGGAAGCAGAGAGGATGACAGTTGGGCACATCTGTCCCTCTCTTCTGAGCTAAAGCAGGTTCTCGTGCCGCTGCGTGTCCCTCCATCCATCCTTCGGCTTCTTCATCTTTTCATTTGCCCACCCACCCGCTATTTACCAACGGGCTGACCCCGAAGGGGAACCCTTCCCCACACTCTGTTACGCCCCCTAGGTCTCTGCGCCGCCTTCGGCCAGCAGTTACAGGAAGAGGGCGAAGGCCCTGAGGCTTCGCTAGAGCTACACTTCGAAAAGAAATGGTTGAGGCGATGAAGTGTGTTTTATCACCTCTCCTCCTCCTCGGGGCTGCTCCACCCTTATTCTCTCACTTTTGGGCCTAGAACTTGCCTGTTCTTTTTTTTTTTTTTTTTTCAAAACTTTTTTGAGCTCCTACTAGGTGCCAGCTTCTGAACAAGTGTTTTTTTTCAGAGGTGACTCTTGTTTATCGCCCCAATTCTGTGAAGCTGGTATTGTCATTTCCACCTTATACGTGAGGAAACTGAGGCTCCAAGAGCTTGCCCAAGAGCTCACAGTAATCCGGGAGTCACATCTGCCGAGGTGAAGCCTGATGCCTTTCGGAGCCCCGCCCCCAGCCTCACTGGCGTGTACCCGCTGTGTCTTCTGCTGCATCCCTGGGCTGAGGTCCCCATCCCAGATCTGTCCCTTCTTTCCCTTGCATTCCCTTCATTGTGCTCAGTGACCTTGACATTCCCCATGACCCTGAGTGCAATGCCTACGACAAACTAGAGGCCAAGAATGGCTTTAATGGTGAAGATTACCTGGCCGGGACAGGTAGTGCATGGGTACTTGGGAGGACAAGGGGACCTTGGGTGTTCTCTGAGTCCATCCCCCAGATGGACAGGTCCTCTCCTCGGGCAGAGAGGCTAGGTCCAGCTTTCCCCCAGATGCTGCAGGATAAATGCAGGGGCCTGAGTGAAACCTGTCTGCAAGTCCTGGCCGGTCTCACGACCCCAGTCCAGAGGCGCACAGTTCCCAGGGTAAGACTCTGTGCTCACCAAGCATGCGTCTCACGAATTTGCCCAGCAGTTCCAGCGATTGCAGCAGGAGGGCATTGGGTTAGATAGGAAGGAAGTTCTCTTCCTCTAAGGGGGATGGGGACCAGGTTGCCATGGAAGCCATGAGTAATTTCCTTCCGAAGAAGAGCACAGACTTCCAGGCAATCCGAGCTGCCCTGATACCATTTTGAACAGAGGACCCAGTTGTTTGCCCTCTAGAGGTCTCCACTAGGACTGCTCCCAACCTGTCCCTTCTGTTAGGTAATTTATGACCCGATGCCATTGCATATTATATGTCCATACACTTTTTTTTTTTTGGCAGCAGCAGCATTTTGAAAGCTCCCTTGGATATCTGTGCTAAGGCATGCATAGAAGAAATTTTAATCCACTGATGTGTTGAAAGAGAAGGAAGCCTTCCTATAGAGAGGGACGTCAAGAAATGTGGTCAAGAGAACACCTGCGAAACTGGGAGGCAGGCAGGGTACCCCATGTTTCTGACAACCCCCAAGCTGAAAACTTTTGACTTGGAAGTCACAGTCTAGACTCCAAACAGTCCCAGAATCTCTACCTCAATCTCCCTGGTTTCCCCAGAGCTGAGCTGAGCTGAGCTGAGCTGAGCTACTAGGAAACATCTGTAAGTCTCCAAAGTCGCCTCCTGATTTCTTTCCTTCCTCCTGTCGAGAAGCGACAGGGGAAAAAGGTGCAGGTCACAGCCCGAGCAGCCCTTTCCGGGGGCTGCGCTAGTGACAGGGACAGTGCCCCAGGAGGTAAGATAGCGTCTTCTGTGCTGCCCGGGTTCCTCCTCCTTCTAACTTGCTTTTTTTCTTGACTTTCCCTGACCCCTCTCTCGCTCGCCCCGATGGCTGTCTCCTGGGACAATACATCTCTAGCCTTTGGGTCATGGATGCCAGCAGCCCCCTCTAAGTCTCCTCCTCTTGGTTTTCTACTGCCTTAGAGACACACGGAGCCTTTCCCCTGAGAGACTGCAGTTCTTTGATGTTTGTTCTCCTCTTGGCTTCCTAGAAAGCTCCCTGGGGCGGGAATGCAGTGAGGCAGAGGCGATGGGCACCGTCGGAGAACAAGGAGGAAAGGGGGCTGTGGCAGAATGGGCAGGAGGATGAGGGTGTCTGCCAATATGCGCAGCTGGATTGCAAATACCACGTCCTAAGTCTAACAGGCTGCTAGCGCCACCAGCCACTCCCTCGCTGCTCAGCTCCCTGGGCAAGATGGGGGAAGCCTGCCCCTCTTCTCATCCTCTCCTACCCCCGAGAGAACCAGAGGGGAGAAGGGAGGGAGAGGAAGACTCTACCTGCTTGCCTGGAGGGGGAGAGCGGCTGAAGCTGGAGTCGCTGCTGTCGGAGCTATGAGGCATGGCTGCAGTCTTCCGGGCTCTCCACACAGCCCCAGGCGCCTCTGGGCTCTCTTGTCACCAGCTGGCCTCCTTTCCTGACGCTTCCCAGGCTGGCAGCCCCACAGCCCAGCTCCTCGAGAGGTGCCTCCTCTGCCTGCTCTGCAGCCACCTCTGACCCTTGTGTCCTCCACACTCTGGGGTACAGAGGCACTGCTCCCCGCAGGGACATGTCGTTTTGCTTTGGGGCACTCACGGCTCTCTTGTGGTTTCTGGTAACTCACGCTGAAGTCACATGGGCGGAAACTTGAGCTAGAAGTTAATTAAAGTAAAATACATATTGGGAAAAAGACCCACAGAATTATGTGAAAGAAAGAAAAAAAATACACAAAACCCCAAATACCTTCCGACAGTTTGAAAAGGCAGAACAGCTCTCTTCAATTGATGAAGATAAAAGAGAAAAACAGCCCGGGAGGGAAAAACCCCAGCCAGAATTAGCAAGTCTGTCTGTCAACACGGGCAGAAAGGAGAGTGAGCAAGGAAGGAGTTTCCATTGTCACCCGACTTGATTTTTAAGCCAAAATAAAACAACAAGACCGGGATTTCTTTCTGGTTTTTGCCTGAAAGCAGCTGCCCACCCTTCCTCACCGACCTTGCAGCCCAGCCAGCCCCGGGGTGGGCTGGGGATGACCAGACCCCAGGCACGGTCTTTCCTAACCATCAAACAGAGGGGGCTGTGGTCCATCTGAAGCCATTGGGGGGGGACGGGGGGGCTCTGGAACTGACGCTCTAACAGTGTGTTCACCGCCCATGCCCCTTGGCGGGGTGTTGTCTAGTGGGGGTGTCCAACCCGAAGCCCGGGGGCCACATGCGGCCCACATGGCTGTGAACGCGGCCCAACGCAAAACTGTAAATGTACTTCAAACCTTTTTTTAGCTCATCAGTTTCATTAGTGTTTGCGGACTGAATGTGTGGTCCAAGACAACTCTTCTTCCAGTGTGGCCCAGAGGGGCCAACAGGTTGGACACCTCTGCGAAAGAGAAGGCGCCTCTCGGGTTGAGGTTCTGTCGAGAACTCAAGATTGGCTCTGAAACTTAATGACTCAAGAAAGTCACCAGGTCAGAGTCCAGAATGGAGGAACAGAAAGAAACAAAAAATGACGTGAACACTGTGCTTGGAGTCAGACCAACCATGGTTTGACATCCGGCTTGCCCACTCCATCCATCTGTGGCCTTGGGCAGCCCACTCAAGCTCTGTGGCCCCCACTAGCTCCATCTATGAATGGAGGTTAATAGAACCTGCCCCACCCACCCCTCAGAGCTGTCGGAGAAGCAAATAATAGCATGGATTAGAATGCCCCTAGCATTCCACGGTGGTAAAAGGTGTTCCACGTGGCTGTTCCTTGTAGTATCGGTAGCTTTGTAATGTTACTAGCCTTGCCATGAGCCTGTCTGTAGAGCTCTCAGCAAGCACTCCAACACTCACCTGGGCATCTGGCTTTTTAAAAAGGACTTGCCTTATTTCCAGGAAGGCTCAAATCCAAATGCTTGCCTCGCTTACTTTTTGGATTGACAGGTATTATGGCCCCTAAAGGATTTTGTATCCATGGGCCGAATTTCTGCGTAAGACAATTCTACCCTGTCTAAGGGTAAATTGAGCAAAACAAAGTTTCTTCCTTCATGGACGTTATATTCGAGTCAGGGAGGCAGGCAGTAAACAAAGGAGTCCGTCTGTGACGCATCAGAGGGTGACAATTGCTGTGGAGAGACGTAAAGCAGGCAGGGGTTAGGGCAGGCTGGGGGCAGCGGGTTGCTGTCTCTATAGGGCGGTCGTGATGGGGCCGTGTGAGCACAGACCCAAGAAAGAAAGGGGGCAAACGGTGTGGGTGTCTAAGGGGAGAACACCCCGTCAAGAACCCGACATGGGAGTGTGTGTGGTATGCTGGAAGGCAGCAGGGAGGCCACACGAGGTGGAGCGCAGAGGCAGCAAATGGCAGGAGAAGTCAACATGGCTTCATGTAGGGCTTTGGGGGCCGCTAGAAAGACTTTGGCTTTTGTTCTGAGAGAAATGGGGACCCCTGGAGGGTCCACCCTTCCACTTCCACCCTTCCACTCTGTGATGCTCTACCGTAGCCACGTTTGACTTTCTTCATAGTACCCATTGGATTTTATAATTATTTTACTAGTTTATTTACTTTGTGGCTTTTTTGTTTGTTTCCTCCATTAGAATGTTAACTCCACTTACAAGTTTCATTCAGCAAGTGTTTACGGAGCACTTACCGCGTATCAGGCAATGTTCTCAATGCTGGGAATGCAGTTCGTACTGACTCACTCTCAGAATGAGAGAGTCAGCATGTGCTGCCTAACACCCCACAGCAAACATCAGTGGCTCCAAACAACAACCAGTTATTTAGCTCATGAGTCTGCCAGTGACCCGGTTGGGCGAGGCTGACCTTGGCTGGACTCCTTCACGTGTCCCCAGACAGAGAAGGTGGACCGATAGTTGGCTCATCTGGAATGGCCCTGTCTGGGAGGCGCTGCTCTACGAGGTGTCTCGTCCCCCAACAGCTCCGCCTGGGCTCGTTCCGTGGCAGCTGCAAGGATTCCAAGAGTAAGAGCAGGAGCATTCAAAGCTTCCCAAGGCCCAGTCTCAGACTTTGCACGATGTTCCTTCCGCCACATTCTATCGGACAAAGACAACAGCAAGGCCAGCCCAGACTCTGTGGAGTGAGGACTGGGCTTCACTCTTGATAGGAGGAGTTTAAAGAATTGTGGCCATTCCTGCAATCTCCCACCAATGAGAAGCCGTTGGAGGTTTTAGAGCAGAGGAGTGATGAGCTGTAACTTGGGTTTTAATAGGGTCTCTCTGGATGCGGTTGAGATTTTCCTGGAGAATCGCAGAGTGGAAGCAGGGAGGTCAGTTAGGATTACAGAACTGAATTACTGCAATAATCCCAGTTGGAGATGTTGGTGGCATAGACCAGTGAGGTGGTGATGAAGGCGCCACCTTCAAGTAAGGTGGTAAGAAGCAGCCACATTGAAACCAAAGACTGTGTCTCTCTTGTTTACAAATACATGTCCAGTGCCTAGTTAATGCCTAATAAATAGCTGTCAAGTGAATAAATATATGAATAACTAAATGAATTCCCATGGAACTTTGCTCATAACTTATGGTACTTATCATGACCTATATTGTTCTGTATCTTTTCTCACCGTAGTATATTGAAAACTGTGTAAGGTTAAAACTGACATATTTATGTTTTATTAAGTTCAATGTAACATTTATTAATACCTATTAAGTAACAGAAATCATAGTGATGAATAAGACAGAAATCCTGCCCTCATAGAAAGAAGGGGAAGTAGTCAAATAACCAGGCAGGTTATTGTAAGTGTTATAATGTTCACACGAAATTCTTTATCTCTGAACAACCTCCCATTTAACAGGAAATACTTGATGAATGAATAATTGCTTGATGCTGTGGTCTCACATCAATGTCCTTATTTAGTATTTAACAGAGACTAACTAATAACGAGAGAAACAACAAATTAGCTGACATAGAAAGATGGTCTCTTTCAATGGTATCATTGAAATTATCTTTAAATATTCCAGATTAAGGAATAATAAGTGGTGGAATAACATCCACCATTAAGCTTACTGAATAAATGATGGATAGAGCTGAAGGCCCCTGTGTATCCTTTCCCGATCCCATTCCCCGCCCCCACCCCAGCCCCCAGGTAACTCTTTTCCGGGACATGGTCCTTATTGTCCTGTTCGTTTCCCTGTGCTCCAAGATGTGTGCCCACACAATACACAGTGCTATACGCAATGTTACCGTGCATGATTTAAACGTTTTACGTTGTCAATATTTTTACATTAAAAATTGTTTTATTTTATTATTTTTAGATATAGGGAGGAAGAGGGTAAGGACGGAGGGAGGGGGAGAGAGAAAGAGAGAAACATCTATTTGTTGTCACTCTTATTTATGCATTCATTGGTTGCTTCTTATGTGTGCCCTGACTGGAGAGCAAACCTGCAACCTTGGCATATGGGGACGATGCTCTAACCAACTGATCTATCCAGTCAGAGCCAGTATCTTTACATTTAACTTCTATTATTATTTTATAGTATTTGAACAGTCACACAAAGCTTGGGATACCCTGAGGCATCACACTGAGGTTGTTATTCTGGAGGACTCCGTGAAGCCACCAAGTACAGTCATAATAGAGCCAGCATCCAGTCAGCTAACCTCGGCCCCATACCTGCAAAGAATGCTAAGGGTGCCTTTGTGGAACACTTCACTTCCTTATCCTGACAACGAACACTTCTAATGTGTGCCAGAGTCACGTACAAGTCATTGACTCATACATGGCCCTGGAACAAATTAGAAAACAGTGCCATCTCTTGGCTGGCAATGCCAGGCCAAAGGGCAAGGACTGGTGAACACCTGTGAGACTGCTAGGGTGGGGGCTCTTCATCAGGGGGCAGTGTGCACAGCTGCTCCCGGCACCCTCGGTGTGCATCACTTACTGTGTGCCAAGGACATGAATTAGCCCACTCGATTCTCCCAACAGTCGTAGGAGGTGAGTACCAGTCCATCCTCCCACCCAACTTTTTAGATGTGGAATACTGAGGTGCAGAGAGGTGAAGTAACTTTTTTCAGGGTCACACATGGCAGTTGCCTTTCCCTACGTGGTGGGGAGAGAGGCAGGGAGAGGGCTTCACAGTGCCTTCTATGACTTAGTCTCTCATCACTTCTGCTTCATTTTTAGCATCAGAAATGAGGCTCCAAGTCCAGCCCATATTCAAGGGGAGGCAAATAAGGCTCTACCTCTTCTAGCGAGAAATCTGAAACAATCTGTGGACATTTCTTCAAACGAGCACACTTCTCAGACTGATTCCTGAGGGAACACAGGGCAGTGCGAGGTGTGGCTGAGACCAGGAGGGAATCACGGAGCGGCATTCTGCTCCTCGCTCTGCCTCCCACCACCTCCGTGACCTTGGGAAGGTGCCTCCTCCTCTCTGTGCCTCAGTTCCCTCAGGTGTGAACTTGATGGGAGGGAATGGTAGAGAGGAGTGCTCAGAGTCTACGTTGGGAATCTAAGTTTAGCAAAACAAAAACAAACAAAAGCCCCACCTATGGTTCACGGTTATATATTCCACGGCTGAGGGCACCACTCTGCAGCCAGGCTGGCCGGGAAGCTCCACTCCTCACTAGCTGGGGGGCCTCCAGGCTAAACCACTTGACACCTCTGGGCCGCCATTTCTGCAACTGTAAAATGA